TCCCCTTCCCTTCCCTCCCCAACCCTCCCCTCCCCTTCCCTCCTCTCCCCTGTACCCAGGCTTCACAGGTCTGTTTCCTCATGGAACAGCTTCACTTTGCCTCTCCAGTTTCCTCCCGCCTCTGGATGCTGTGTCCTGAGGGCTCCGCGCAGATGGAGAAGCCCTCAGGGGCATCTTCATGCCCAGTGCTGTTCTCTGTGCTCAGTGCACTGCAGGGAGTCTGAGGGACACACGGAGTGGGGATTCCTAACCTGGTGTCTGGTTTGAGAAAGGTGAGGGTAGAAAAGCCATGGGTCACAGTTACGGCTCAGACAGTTACGGCTCATTCCTAGAGGAATGACTAGGTGGTCCCATGACAGTTCAGGGAACCCTCTCTGCGGGGGTCAGGGACCTGGAGGGGGTCCTTCTGAACTGCTCGGTGGGATGGAGGCACCATGCTCCCCAGAGGCTGGGGATGCAGGGGGAACAGTATGATGGGGGGCCACGGTGGCTCTTGGAAGGGCAGGCCTCTGGCCATGGAGACTGAAAGAGTTCAGAGTGGGAAGGAGCTTGGCTAAGTACAGCTTAACTGCCCAGATGTTTACTGAGTACTAATTAGTAGCAGCGACTCATCCAGTGCTTAGTGAATTATGGGTTTCACCCTTTACATGCACTGTCCTTCTCAGCCTCCTTTGACAGCTCTGAAAGTAGAGACAGGCATGAAAGACTAAACCTTTAAAAGCTGACTGGAAGTGTCACATACTTCAGAAAAGCCACCAGTGCATAGATTGACAGTTGTCATCCTGAGCTCAGCTGCATGACCGCTGCTCAACAAATCACACATTCTCAGGGTTCCCTAAACATCCCTGTCCCAGTCACTTCTACCTCCTCTGAGGTAGACACTATTGGATTACTAATACTAGGTTTTAGTAATCAGAACTAATTAGTAATCAGAACTATTATACCGAGTATTCGTTCTGATTGAGTCCCTAAGTGCTATGCGAATGAAATCATGCATTGCGTGACTTTCTGTGCTTGGCTTTTTTGGGGATAAACTTAGGATGGTGGCATCCATTCACGTCGTGTGCAGCAGGGCTCATCCATTTCACTGCTGCATAGTGCTCCACTATATGAACAGGCCACAACTACCTCATGTAGTCAATGGTTAAGAAAACATTTGTTCTCTCTCCCCAACCACATTCCTCACCACCACATGATGGAACTTCCATGACTATTCCATTTCTTGTGTTTTATGGGATGCACACAAATCTTGGGCTGGGTATGTGCTGCAGTAGAAACTCCAAGGCCCATGGATGAGAACACGGTTCTGAACCTTGATGTGCTCATGGTGATAAGGTGTAGAAAGGGGTGGGTGGTCACTATGAGCCCCGGGAGGGGGGATCTGTAGGTGGAGCCACTCCCCAAATAACCACACAGAGAGTTATCAATTATAAATGCTCAGCCATCTGTCCCCACAGACCTCTGTGGCTAGATCAAACTGAAGCCCGTCTTTTCCACATCCCCAGGAACATACTGGTGCTGTAGAATACCACCGTCTTCATCTTCAAGTGCTGGCTGCTCTGGGGCAGGCAGATAATTCACTGGCACCAGAGAGATGGATGAGCGGCGGATGTAAAACATCCAGTCTTGACAAAGAGTGTGTGTGGATGCATGTCTGCATAGGTATGTTTTCATGCATGTGCCTGAAAGACCTATTTCTTTCAGATGGTTGGGAGAACTTCACTAAGCTCTTTGGAGACTGGTGGGGGGTAGGGGAGGGACAGCCTGCTGGCCATCTGTGACAATAGTCGTCCTCTTAGCCATCCTCAGCACCAGCATCCCTGGGGCACACATATTAGGCCTCGGTGAAGGTAGAGGAGGCACGGGATTGACTTGCGTATGTTCTGACTCCGATGGTGGCCAACTCAACCAGCCAGCCAGCTGCTGTCCATCTGCCTCGCCTCCTCCTGGAGTAATAAAGCCCCACCCTGCCTGGCTGGTCTTGAGATCGATCTCAGTAACACTAGTTCTCTACAGGGCTTTACTGGGGCCCTGTTCTTTTCAAGAGCATTCTCCCTCTTGAGGAAGACCTGCCAACGCTCCCTGTCTTAGGGATACGAAGGTGCAGTGGTTCTCAGAATTCTAGCTACTTACCTCGGGAGGAGGCTGCAAGCTCAGACAGCTTCCACCCTGAGCAACTGTAAGCAAGGCATGCCGGGGCCACTCTTCCATCCTCCCCTGCCTGCAGTGGACACTGGAAGAAAGACATAGACGATAAATCAGCGCTTAATTAATAAGAGTCGCGAGGTGGCTGCTCAGGAGGGAAAGGAGTATAAAAGGTCTCCCTGTAATGCAGAGCCAAGTCTCAAGGGGAGCCAGTCCCCCAGGCATCCCTGCAGGCTGGGAGGGCCAGGGAGCCAGCTGCCTGCAGGGAATGTGGGAATGAGTCACTGAGGGAGGGAGAGCGAGGAAATCAGCAAGGAAAGAAATGTGCCGGGGAGAGGGGACGGTGCATCTGCTGTGCTCCAAAGCCGGAGTGCTTACAGATTAAGAGATGGGAGAATATAGATCGTGGGCATATTTATCTTTATTGATGGGATATTTTTGGTCCTCAAAATAAAACGCAGGAATGTTCTGGTAAGTTGTTCAAGAGATCTTACGGGCATAAAATGAGAAGCCACTGTGCAAAAACAAAGTTCCAACCCAGAGTTGTGAGTTCTCAGTCTGTCTCCTGTCTCAAGCTAGGACACTGGTTCCTGAGTCCCAAGAATTCTCTTTTTTTTTTGGGGGGGGGGTTCTGCTGGCCTGCTGGGTAGGAGGGCAGGTTGCTTGAGAAGGTGGAATTGCTCAGCTGTCCCTTCATTACTCATTCATTGGACATTTCTGAGTCGGGGCCACACACACAGTCGGGGCTGTCGACACTCAGGAATCTGGGAAGTCGCTATCTAAGCCAAGATCGGCAGCCATGCTCCTCTGCAGTCCTGTGGGAGGGAATGGACCGGTTCCCCTCTCTGTCAGGCGACCTCAGGACAACAGGAATATTCAGAGCCCCAACAGAACTGGGTGACTGAAGCATGGCCATCGGCCTGAGTCCAGATGACCTGAGTCTGCATTTTTCTCACTGTTCAGAGAGACAAGGGGGGCTCGGTCAGTGTCACACAAGGCTCCAAGCTGGAGATGTGCACAGAACTCACAGAGTTGAACCAAAAAGCAGCTTCGGGCTTCCTGGGGAGCCGTGGAGGGGACAGAGGCGGGCAGCAGGGCGTGAAGCAGCCCCAGGTGCAAAGGGCGAGGGGAAGACTGTTTTTGTTCTCTACAGACCGGGGCACTTGCTAGGGTCCCCCGAGAAGCAGGGAGTACTTTCACAATTTTCAAACATATTTTTAAATAAGCAAATGAGGGACGGGGTGCAGCTTGTGAGGCATACCTGCTCACGTGCTCTGCATGGGGCTGGCTGCATTGGTCTTTGCCTTCAAACCGGACCTGTTTTTCCCCTTCTCAGAACCAATAACAGAGTGGAGCACCAACTGAGCCATAAGGGAGGAGGGAGGAAGAGGAGGAGCAGGCATAGGAAACAATGGTGGTTACAGATACAGGCTAAAAAGAAAATGAGGGGAACCAGACACAGCAGCTCCCTCTGGCAATCCCAACACTTGGGTAGGCCAAGACAGGAGGATTGCCATGAGTTGAGGCTAGTCTAGGGAGGGGATAGGTTAATAAAAGCGAAGGCTAGTCTTGTCTTTCTGGGTGTACGGAGATTTCCTGGAATGAAGGCTCTGCTTCTTTTCTTTTTAATTTCTTTTTTCTCAGCCACAGCCTTGGCTGTTGTCTTGGACCACGGGGTTGAATTGTTTATTATGCAGATGGGATCATCATGAAGTTAAGAGTTTGTCTGGTATCACTCTGGCAAGCCACCAAAGACCCAAGCAGTTTCAGCCAGCCTACCTGAAGAAGGACTTCAGGTCTACAGCCATTCTGTCCTCACAGATAAACAAGATCAGGGAGGTGGACACTCATTTGGGCTTGTCCGTATGCTACTCTGGTTGAGGTAGGGAGAAGGCGGAAGTGGAGGCTGTCTCTGGGCAGTCTGAGTGAGTGGCTGAGGCAAAAGGACCCCGAGGAGGGGTGAGTGAAGCCAGCCAGAATCCTGAGGGATTGGAATTCAAGAAGGGACAAAGGGCAAGGCTTCAGGGGACTGTGGCAGGCCTGAGGGGACTCCAGGTGTTCACACAGGAGGCCAGCCTCCACCCTCTCTACATACCAAGAGGAGGATTCAGGGGAAAGGGAATTAGGTGGGAGGCGAGTGGGACCTTGTGAGAAGGCCACCTTGGGAACCGGCAGCAAGGACAGGCTGTGGGAACCTGTGGTACAGGAGCTGAGGTTGTTTGGGGAAGAGGCCAACAGGCTTGGGGCCAGAGAGAGGGATTAGGAATAACTCTGCCCACCTCCAAGGATGGACTTGAAGACAGGGGTGGGGATGGGTTGGAACTCCTGGGCCAGCATGGCTTGCTCCCATCTTCTTTAGGGTCTTGATTCTAAACTCATCTCCTCCATGGCACCTCCCCTGACTTTCTCATCTAAAGCCTCACCATGGACCTCCTGCTTTCTTTCCCTGCACAATCCTTCCCTGGGCATGTGGCATTACTCAGCACACTGTGTATTTCAACTGGAGTTAGGAGCAAGCTTTGTATAAAGGCAAGGTTACAGGCCCAAGGATAACACATCTACCTCCTGGTGGAACCAGAAGTCATTTCCTAGACCAGGTTTTACCGTAAACTCTGCCTAGTCGATGGGCTCAGAACAGAAATACCAATTGTGTGGATTCGTCACTTCAGGCAAATTTGCTGAACAGCCTTATTAAATAAAAACCCAGAGCCAGATATATGGATGAAAACCTGAGAGTCCAGAGGAATAGGAAAAGCCACAAGCTAACCTCACCTTACCGATACCTCAGTTTCAAAAGAGAGCTACTTCCTGTATACCCACACCTATATGCTTTTCTGTTCTGATCTCCCATTTGCTCTCTCAGCCCAGGTACATCACTTCCTCTTCCTGTCCAGCTCTGTCACTTCCTGTCCGTCTGTACAGACCTCCAGACTTCTTATCGTTAGTGCTGAGATTAAAGGCGTGTGTCACCATGGTTGGCTCTTTTCCCAGTGTGGCCTTGAACTCATAGAGATCCAGACAGATCCCTGTCTCCCAAGTGATAGGATTAAAGGTGTGTGCTACCAATGCCTGACTTCTATGTTTACTATAGTGGCTGGCTTTTTCCTCTGATCCTCAGGTACATTTTATTGGGGAACACAGTATATTGGGGGATATCATACTTCACCACACATCACCATGCCAGCTGATCTCAGCCTTTGCTCTCTTCTTCATTGCCTGGTTCTTCCTCCCTGTTGGAAATTTTCACTGGGCTTCCCTGAGCCTGCGCACTCCCACCAGAGCCAACAGACAATCGGTATTCTCCATCTACATTCACATTAGCCAAAGAAGATCAAATTCATATCAACTCACAATTTACATATGACTGGATCCAGGCTTCTATGAAACACATAAAAGAATGTACTTAAAGCCAAAAGTCAGAAGTCAACCACCCTCAAAGAAAAGGCAACAGCAACCAGCTGCTCGTTTTCAAGTCCCCCTCCTGGCTGCAGGGAACTGCTTTTGTACTTTTCAGTGAACTTCGCAGGCCTGCCTCTCTTCTGCAGTCCTCCCTCGTCATTCATGAGTGTAAGATGTCACACGTGATTCTGACTCAAGAACTCAGCAATTAATGATAGACCATCTTTTTACTTAAAGGTCTCACCAACGCGGGGCCGTAGATGGGGACTGAATGGAAATATCAATATTGACACTCCAGGGGCTGGAGAGAAGATGGGTCCGCAATAAGAGCTTGCTGCTCTGCAGAGGACCCAAGTTTGGTTCCCAGCACCCATATCAAGCAGCTCACAAAAGATTGTAACTCCAACTCCAGGGACTCTGACGCTCTCGGGGCACCTATGCACATGTGTGCATACACACACACACAATACATATACCTGCTGTGTGACAAAACATTTTCCTGGGGAGATGCAATGCACATGTGAACTCACAGATGGGGACCCATGAGAAATCCCCCCCCCCCAAAGTCCAACTTGGAGAATCAATAAGTTTTATTGGGGTTCCTTACAGGATATGGATAAAGGAACAGAAATGGATAAAGGGTTAATTACAGGAACAGAAATGTCTCAAAGACAGCGGCATCACCAAGGCCCACCCCGGCATGGGAGACGGCTCACAGAAGCTGGAAACCTGGAACACACTGCATAGTCTACAGGTAGCTCAACAGGTTGGACAGTGTCCTTTCCAGCTGCCTCACTTGGTCTAAGCCTCTTCCTATCAGCTCAGCTGGTTTCTGCTTCTCCCAGGATGCAGCTGGTCTGGTCCCTGAGTCTTCTTTGAAGCTCTTTTTCTATTGCTTACTCGGGCAGGGTGAGGGCCTAGTGAGTTTGGTCAGTTTCAGGAACTTCCTGAAGCTATTGGGATTTGTTTACCTTCCCCGCTTAAGGAACTTCCCTGCAGGATGGAATGTTTCAATCTCAGAGGGAACTGTTACACAGCAACAACAGCCACACGTAAAGTATTACATCTTTAAAAATTAACGTATCAAAGAAGCCAGTTTGCTGAGGAAGACTGAAAGCCTTTCCCTACCTGCGCTTCATCTAATGAACGGAGCTAACACATGGGAAGGTGAGGATTATGGGGCCCTATGGAGTGCTGTTTCCTGAGTGGCCACATGCCTTGTGGGCTCATTCCTCAGCTCACTAGCCCATGTCCATCTTGGGAGTGCTTTTCCTTCCTTCCAGTCTCATTTCTGTTTTCCTAGTGCAATCCTTTGCTCGGGTTTGGCAGTACGCATGCCGTCCCTGACATCCTGGGGTCTTCTAGCGGTTTCTCTGAAAAGCATGACTCTCTCCATGTCCCTCCTCCTGGAGCCTGCCAGGAGTTTTAGTTCACCTGTACTATTGTTTTTCTCTCGAACTCTAATAAAATTGCCCTTGAACTTCCTTCTGGGTCCTATTTTAAATTCTTTTTTAACACAGCCGAGAATACAAAAGGGATCTTCTGGTTTGTCCATTGAACACCAATGGAACGGGAAACCTTCCAAAAGCAGATGCTGTGGGTTCAATTGTAGACTTCCCATAGTCGTGTTCTATCCCAACTTCCTCCTCAGAGTGTGGCCTCACTGGGAGATAAGCCTTGCAGTCACCACTAGAGTGGACCCATCCTGCCTGGCTGGAAGGGGAGATTGGACACAGGCACACAGGAGGAGCCCACATGCAGAAGAAGGGAGAGATTGGGGCGATATTTCCACACAGTCATGGGGCACCAAAGGTGGTCAGCACACTGCTGTGGAGAGAGAGGGTCCAGTCCCTCTCAAAGTTCTCAGAAGGTATAAACTGGGAATGCCCTGATTTTGAACTCTGAGACTCACAAAGAACTACAAGACAGTGGGTTCCTATAGTTTAAGGCACCCGTGTGTGGGTGTGTGGTGTTTCATTAGGGAAACCCCAGACAGAGAATATGGCAGAGAATTTAAATTTTATTTCATATCTTCCAGACAAGATACATTAGGTTATGGAGAGGTCCTGGAAAGGCCAGGAAAGGAGAGTGTACATCCAGCCAAGCATTTCCCATCTTGAGTTTTGTCTCCATGGACACATTTTGATTTGAAACTTACTCAAGAAAGAAGAAGACAAATTTCAGTCCACAGTGGTCAAATTCTGATGAAGCCTGACTTTAGTTACTGAATTTATGCTGTTAAGGGAAAAAGACCCGGGGTGATTTGGAGCGGGTCTCACCCTCCTGGGGTGTTAGCCTCAGCACTGGGTGATGCCCAAAGCCCTTAGGTTTGTCTCCAACAGTGGCAAGATATGAATCTGACTTTATAGGGAGCCGCTGGATTTTAGAAGTGGTCCCACAATCTGGGGTAACCCCAGGGCACTCTCTCTTGCTAGTTATGGTGACAGGTTCTAAAAATATTCCTGAGGATCCAAAGACTTTGAAATGTAAATGGACAAAGAAAGGCTGTGTTCCTAATCAGCTGCTCTGTGCTGCACGGGGTACAAATCTGTGAGGTCCCCAGATGAGGTACAGGGGAGGAAGTGGTAGAATTTAGGAGGCATCGTCTTTTATTTTGTCCAGCTGGGACTTGTGAGTATCCACCAAGATGGCGAATTAAGGGATGGGGAAGCTACTGGGATCGGTTTAACCTTCCCGCTTAAGGAGCTTCACTGCAGGATGGAATGTTTCAATCTCAGAGGAAACTGTTACACAACAACAACACATACAATATTACATCTTTAAAAATTAACACATCAAAGAAGCCAGTTTGATGAGGAAGACTGGAAGCCTTTCCCTACCTGCGCTTCATCTACTGAACTGAGCAAACACATGGATGTGTGAATTTATGCTGTTAGGGGAAAAAGACCAGCGAGTGATTTGGACCGGCTCTCTCACCCTACTGGGGTGTTAACCTCAACACTGGGTGATGCCCTAAGCCCTTGGGTGACGGAATTAAGGGAAACGAGTGAGACCCGGCCACTGTATTCGGTGAAAAGAGAAGACAGTTCTGCACAAAACCATTGAGAAAACGTGTAAAAAGAACTATTACAGAGCTGGACCGAAGCGCGAGGTTGGGAAAGGATGAGGAAAGGGCCGACACCCCGAGCCCCGCCCCCTACCCCATGCCCAACCCCATTCTTGGAGGCGGTCAGGGAGAGTCTCCTGCTGGTCATAACAGGCTCCCACTTTGCTCGAGTCAACCTAAAGTGGTTTTGAAATCCTCCTTGATTCAGACAGAGGCGAACCTTCTGTCTTGAGAGGAGGTGGAATTCTCCGGTTTGGTGCACGGGTGACTGAGGCGCCCTGATCCTCCTGCCTTGTTGCTTCTTTGCAGGCAGCCAGAGCCTGGGGTGCTCGTGGTGGCATCTGGGAGGGTAAGGAGAACCTCCAGCCCCATCTTCTGAGAGCTGAGGGGAGGTGAGTGTGAGAGAGTGGATGACCACCTTCCTGAAACCTAGCTCCAAGGTCGCCTTCTCAGCCAAGTCCCCCTTTTCTTTTTTGATGTCCAGCTTCATAGACTGACCCCTTTTCCTTGCTTTTAAATTAGACCACTGCTCAGTTCATTCCTCTAAGAGCAGGGCTAGGCCTCGCTGCACGCCTGGCTACCAGCCTCCAAAGGCAAGCCAATGGCTCCTTTTCATGTCATTAAAAATTAATTATTAATTTTGCAGCGTGGTGGTGGCAGCAGCGGCGGCGGCGGCGGTGGCGGCGGCGGCGCACGCCTTTAATCCCCGCACTCGGGAGGCAGAGGCAGGCATATTTCTGTGAGTTCAAGGCCAGCTTGGGCTACAGACTGAGTTCCAGGAAAGGACCCATAGCTACACAGAGAAACCTTGTCTCAAAAAACAAACAAAAAAATTATTAATTTAGAAATGAGTTGTGTTTGTGTGTGCACAGGCACGCGTGTGTGCCCACATGCATGTGGGTGCCTACAGAGGCTAGAAGCGGGTATCAAGTTGCCTGGAGCTGGAATTACAGTTGGTTGTGAGTTTATAACGTGGGTCCCGGGTGCTGGGAGCCAAATGTGGGTCCTCTGCAAAGGCAGCAAACGCTCTTAACTCCTGAGCCAGCTGTCCGGCTCCTCTCTCCTCCTGTTTTCATCCTGATACTCATTATTGTAGCCAAGCTGAGCTTGAACTCATGGCAATCCTCCTGTGTCAGCCTCCCAGATTCTGAGATTACACGTGTTGAGAACTCCAAGGTTGGTCCTTTTTGTTTAATTTCCGCTCACCTGGAGGTGGCAGGGTTGACGGAATGAGTAGGCAGGCTCAGCTTTCTCTTGGTCCACAAGCCGTCCGCCTGCATTTGGCTCTGAACCAACTCCCGCTAACATGCCGCACAAGGAATGTTTTTCCAACAATTGTTTTCTTCCCCCATTTGGCTTTTAAAAATCATTGCTAGAAATGGAAAAGCAGCCCTGTCCAACTGAACAACAAAGGAGCGTGTTGGATGTGCATCATCTCACGCGATCTGCTGAGGGCTCACTCTGTCAGGCTTCCTACAGAGTCCTTACTGGAGTCTGGTTACATCATTTCAGAACAGTGTGAAGCACTTATGACGTCACCACCCCCGAGCCTTCCAGTACCCTAGTCTTTGACTCACCATTTCAAATGTAGCAATGAGCAAAATACTAGAGGTAAAGCTAGGCTTGATGGTACACATCTGTAACTCCAGTGTTCCTGAGGCGGAGGCAGGGGGATTGCTAAGAATTCAAGACAAGCCTAGGCTACACAGCAAAACTCGATCTCACAAAACAGATAGCCACTTTCTGGTTGGATTTAAGTCGTGGGGGGCAAGTCCACTACTGTTATTCTGCTAGTTGACATAATGTTAAAACGACATTGTTTTACCTATAGAGCATCTCTCAACCCTCATCAGGGAAGCTTCTATTTGCAGTAGATGGTGATCAGCATGGAGGCCCACAAACAGCCAAGGTGTGGAGAATGAAAGCCTTCAGAGGGCTCAGCCCTAAGAGGAACCTTTACTGCACCCCCTCCTCCTAAGCTTCAGGGATCATTTTGGAATAGGAAGCAGAGACAGGAAGAGCCAGAGGCAGAGAATGAATTCAAGGGAACAGTGTCCTTTGGATAGAGCAGGGCAGCTGCACATCTGAACTCAGCAGTTAGGACAGCATGCACAAGCCCCATGCAATTTTGCACATAACCAAATCCCGCTGGGAGAGGAGAGGTGGACATAAAGTCCTACCCCTCGCTGAGGGACTACTGGTAATTGATAACTGCTGGGAGGTGGAGGGTCAGTTTTCTTGTTGTTTGTTTTTTTCTAGACAGGGTTTCTCTGTGTAGCCCTGGCTGTCCTGGAACTCACTCTGTAGACTAGGCTGGCCTCAAACTCAGAGATCCCCCTGCCTCTGCCTTCTGAGTGCTGGGACCATCGCCTGGCCAGAGAGTCCATTTTCTTTAATACTGTAATCCATCCAAGCTGCATAGAAAGGTCACATATCCATGAATAAAAAATGCAGCACAGATTGGATTTGGTGGATGAGGAAAACAAAGACACGGTTGAGTGGGTAGGGAAGGGGGCATTGATTTGGGAGGAGTTGGTGAACATGGTCAAAAATTTAAAGAACTAATTAAAAAGAAAAAAGAAAACCAACAGTGAAATCCAAACAAACAGATCGGGGTTTAAGGAGCCCGAGCCACTTCAGGTGGGATGTTCTTCAAAAGAAACCCCTGGAGAATCGTGTACACTCTGGAGAACGCTAGCAACACCTTGAATGTCAGCAGTAGGCTCCTTGTTGGTGTGGTGATGCATGCCTGTACAACCAGCCCTTCAGAAATGAAGGCAGGGAGGTCATGAGTTCAAGGTCAGCCTCAGATACCTGAGACCTGGCCCTGCCCCCTGGAATGAGTAGGAGATTTAGCCAAACAAAAGATGCAGACTCACAGTAACAGATGTGCAGAGACTCCACCTACTGCTGAAGGCAGGAAGGTCATGAGTTCAAAGTCAGCCTCAGATACCTGAGACCTGGCCCCGCCCCCTGGAATGAGTAGGAGATTTAGCCAAACAAACGATGCCATTTCACAGTAACAGATGTGCAGAGACTCCACTATTGCGCAGCAGCTTAGCAGTGGCTGGTGCTACCTGGGAGCCAGGCTGTCTGGTGGCGTGATGGGCTCTTGGCCCCAGCCAAGCTGCCTTCTGTAGGACAACATAAAAAAGATTTCTTATTGACTCTAGTGGGATGCTTTTCGTCAAATGAACCAACCGACTTGGAGAATATAAGGAGAAATTCATGGAGTCTGTTTAAAGGGCAAAGAATTTATTAAGGGAAAAAATGCACAGTACAGAACAGAGTTGACACAGGTTCTGGAACGCTGTTCTGGCCGCCTGAATCAGTCCCCCATCCAAGTCCCACAAAGGGACTACATACATCTCAGGTCTTAAGGGTCTCCAAGAGACCACACCCCGGGAGCATGTACTTCAAGGTCATAGCTAGGTACCTGCTGCATCTCTAGGGGTGGTGCTTCAAGGTCATAGGCAGACCAGCTATCCACTACATCAGAAGGCTTCTACAGAGTGACTGCCACCGTCAAGGAGGATGGACATTTTAATCCTCACAACAGCAAAGTGAACCCTTGAAGGTAAGGCTAAATCCAGATTAGGAACAAAACTTTAGAGGCTGGTAAGTGGTCATTATTATTTTTCCATTTTAATTTTTTCTGAGACAGTCTTATTCTGTAGCCCAAGCTGGCCTTGAACTCCCAGCAAGCCTTTCGTCTCAGCTTCCCAACTGCTGGGAATACTGGAGTGTGCCACGATGACCAACCAAGTCTGCTCCACTGTTAGTTTCCTCCCCCCATCCCCCTTCAAAGAAAGGGGTGAAGGGCAGTACAGGGGGTATGTAGCATGCTCAGCATCTTCAGGGATAAAACACATTGCCATTTTAAAGACATTTTAAATTTGAAAAAAGGATTTATTTTTATTTTACATGTATGAATGTTTTATCTGCATGCATGTGTGTGCAGCATGTGCGTGCCTGATGCCTGTGAGGTCGGAATAGGACGCTAGCTTCCCAGGAACTGAAATTACAGGATGACTATAAGCCACCACGTGACCACTAGGGACCAAACCCCAGGTCCTCTGCAAGAGCAGTAAGTGCTCTTAGCCACTGAACCATTTTCAGTCCTAAGGATTTTTTTTTTTTTTTTTGTATTTTGAAGTGTGTGTGAACGTGTGAGTTTGTGCTCATGAGGGCAGCGTCCATGGAGGCAAGAAGATCGTGTCAGATCCCTTGGAAGTGGAGTTACAAATAGTTGTGAGCTATTCAGTACTAGTGCTGGGAACCAAACTTGGGTCCTCTGCTAGACAAGGACATGCTCTTAACTGCTGAGACACTGAGCCATCTCTCTGCCCCCTTTTTTTCTTTTTTGGTTTTGGTGCCTGTCCTGGATCTCACTATGTAGACCAGGCTGGCCTCGAACTCACAGAGATCCACCTGCCTCTGCCTCCTGAGTGCTGGGATTAAAGGGGAGTGCCACCACCACCCAGCTCTTTTTCTTTTTCTTTTCGAGACTGACTTGCAACAATCTCTTAGCCTCGTATGTGGAGGTGCATCGCCATGCCCAGCCTTACCCTACATTTTTGCATTTACTTTTTTGTTTGTGTGTGTGTGTGTGTGTTTGCGTGCAGGCTTGTGTAGGGGTCAGAGGACAGTTTTCTGGAGTTGCTTTTCTCCTTACACCACGTGTTGTAGGAATTAAACCCAGGTTGTTAAGCTCAGAGGCAAGAGCCCTGACTGAGCCGTCTCACCAGCCCTGCATTCTAAGTTTGAAAAGCCTGATAGAGAAGTCTTACTAAGGTCGTGCTGAAAATACTTCAATGTTATAAAGACAAATTATTAAACTACATGGACAAAGTGAATATATATATATGTGTGTGTGTGTATATACATATATATACACTATATATGCTATGATGTGACACCTTTGAAACTCAAAACAATTCATTGAATGAACACAATTCCCCTCAATATTATTGATTTAAAAATGAGCTTATGTCTATCTCGAGTTTTGGTAAGCTGTTCCCTCCTTCTCACATAGATTTTGTTCACATAATATAGAAATGTTGACTTTGCAAAAATTAAAAATAAAATCTCTCTCTCTCTACACACACACACACACACACACACACATATATATGCCTCACTTTGATTTTGTTTCTTTTTCTCCATCTTCTCAAAGATGAAGACTGTCGTCCTTGTGATAAAGGGGTGCGTATATCACACACATACACATAATTGATCTTTGAGACTGAGTCTCAAGTAGTCCAGCCTGGCCTCAAATTTGCGGTGTAGCTGAATATGACCTTAAACTGGTCTCTCTTCACTGGCCTAGTACTGGGATTTCTTATCGACTCCAGTGGGAGGCACAGTGAATTCCAGGCTGAATTCATACAATAAGGATATGCTTTTAATAACAGGGGGAAAGCAATTAAAAAAAATCAGGACTCATTCTTTGGAGTTGTCTTATTTATTCCTCCCACCCTTCAAGTGCTGGGGACCAAACCTATAGCCTCGGGCATGCTAGGCAGGCACCTTACGGCTGCGCTATCCCCCAGTCCCATTCTTGTTTATCTTTATGTGGCAAATGATTCTAGCTCTAGTTGGACCTAAATTTCTGAGAAAGAAAAGAGGAAGTGAAAAACCAACAGTCCCCTTCCCCTTCAGTGGTGATAAGCTGCAGCTGGCTTGAGGGCACCCCCCACCCCCCAAACACACACACAAGGTTGCAGTGCGTTTATCTTCTCCCCCATCCTCAGAAACAGCCCTGTTCCCCCGAAGTGGTCCCATGGGCTTGGGGTGGTGGTGGTGGTGGATTCTGAATTTAAAACCCCTCTGCCAAGCTGGGAGGAGAGTAAGGCCAACAAGCCAGGACCACCAAGCCTCCTGTGGTCCACAAGGGGTTGGGGGGCGGGGTCAACTACCCTTGTAAACCCCCTGAGTCCCTGTAACAAAAGTCGGCCTGGAAAGGGGAAATTCCCAGTGGGAATGTACACAGCTGAGGACAAGTTACAGACACGGAGAAGTGGAGCCGTGATTGGGTGTGTGTGTGTGTGGGGGGTGGTTTTCCGAAAGAAAGTCCCGAGGACACCAGCTCCTCTGACCACGACAGTGTGACTGGCCCCGGTGGGTGCGGGTGGTGCCAGGCACCGCTCTAGTCTAGGACCTCAAGGGGCAAACGTCTCAGTCTACAGTGCCAGCCAGGAGCATACTGCATGTGCTTTTCCACCGTGCCCTTCGACTTGCCCGCCTGCGTCCAGGGGCTGTCTTGTGCCCCATGTCTCAGTTTTGTTCATCTTTCGCCGCCCCCCCCCCCCGGCTGGTGCACCTGGTGGGCACGCTGCCAGGATCGGTGGAAAGGAAGAGAAGGAGGCAGTGGGGTGAGAGAGAAGTGAGGGGGTCTCTCCTCGCCTGCCTCTTAAGACACAGGCGGGATGTACAGGGTTTCCCCTGGAACAGGGCCACACCACCTTCTTCTCTCCGAAGGGAGGGGCTCCAGGTGACAAATCTTTAACACACGCTTCCCGACAAACAGATGCGCAAGAGCGGTCCGGTGCTACTGGTGCTTGGCGGTCTTATAGGCCAGTGGTCGAAGTTTCCGAAGCGTTTGGTTGCAGCCCTGGGATCAATCCCTTCTCTTTCTCATCTGTCACGATCCATTAGATCCCCCCTAAGTGACAATGGCCAGGGGTGGGGAGAGTGGAGCCCCCCACAGCTCTGGCCTGGTGCCGTAGACGTCCTCCTCAGGTAGGCGTCCTCCCCTGAGGTTCCTGATCACCTTTCCATCCATCTCTCCAAGATCTCTTTTCCGCCAACCAGCCAGGCACAGCCTGCTCAGGTTCTGTCCGACTTGGAGACTGCAGACTCCGCCCCCTCTTTGGGTGAGTCTTCCCAAATCAGTCTCCAGTCCCTATCTGGATCAGGATCGTCGCTAGGGCAGGTTCTCTCCAAGGTGGAGTTTCCTCCAAAGTGGACGGCTCCACCTCCCGCCCCAGAGTGGACGCCCTTTTCGGTGCTCCGAGAGCCTGCCCAGGCCGTCTCCGGAGGGCAAGTGGCCTTTGAGCTCAGGCTGCCCGGGAGGTGACCGGTCCTGCGGCTTCAGGAGAAACTGCCCCTCCTCTCGCTCCGGGGCTGGTTACAGTGGACCGTGGGGAGTGGAAAGGGGGCGGGTCTCCAGGGGCCGGTACTTTCCGACGCTGGAAACGCGCTCGGCCCTTGGCGTCCCGGGACCCCATTAACACCAGGGTCCCCAGGGAGCGGCCCAGGGAGGGGCGGGGCGCCCGCCGTCCCTCACGTTGGCTCTCAGCCTCTCGAGTTACAGCTTCGGGTTCTCCCGCGGGTGCCTTTCCCTGCTCCGGGACAAAGCGGCTCGGTGGCAGTGGCGCGGTCAGGAGAAGACCCCCGCTGCGCTCGGGACTCCTGCTCGCAAGGCGCCCCGCCCGCCGCCCCGCTTCCACCCCTCCCGGCAGCGCAGGGAAAGCCCCCGCGGCTCCTCCCACCCCAGGGGCTTTTCTCCAGTCGCCAGCGACTTTGCTTCGGGAGCGCAGCCGCCTGGCGCCGCTTTCCGCCGGGCTGGAGCGCACGGTGCCCCTGGCTCTTCTGCGGAACGCCAGGGGCAAGAATCGGTGACCTCGGGGCGCGCCCCGCGTCCCGGGTCCCCTAATCGTCACCTCGGCCCCCGGCCCGCGCCTAGGCCTCCAGCATGGTGCTGCTGGCTGGGCCCGGGCCGGAGGGCGGCGGGACGCGCTGCTTGTCCCCGCAGTCGCCGACGCCACCCCGGGGCGCGCAGACAGGGGACGACCCGGGGGACTACGAGGAGTACGAAGACTTCTCGAGTCTGCCGGACACCCGCAGCATAGCTTCAGACGATTCCTTCTACCCTCCCGGAGGCGAGGAGGAGTGCGGCGCGGCGAGCGCGGAGTGCGTCCCGGAGGGCGTCCCGGAAGCGGCGACCCTCCTGCGCGCCGCCTGCACCAACGACGTGGGGCTGCTGCGGGCGCTAGTGCTGCGCGGTCCGAGTTCCGAGGAGGTACAGGAGACTGACCGCAACGGCCGGGTAAGCTCGGGTGTGGGTCCCCTCCGCTCTCCTCCCTCGTCCCGACTCCCGTACCACCCCAAGTCTGGGTCTGCTGCCGCCCAGAGCACCCATTTCATTCCTTCTGTGTGGCGTATGGTAAAGGGACACCATTTGCTCCGCTCAGGTGCGGAGCCGGCGGGAAGGTGGCCCAGCTCGGCTTCCTAATGCATCCCGGTTCCTTTACCGCCCCGGGGATCCCTGGTTGTCCCTGGAGGCTTGCGCTGGAAAAGTGTTGACGTCTTGGGGCGGAGGGGTGTCCTTTCTCTTCACTGCCTCACTGACGGCTTCATTTCCCCAGGCCCCAGGTAGGTGACGGTCTCTACTCCCCTGCAGGGGGGCCACCTTTTCCTACCGTCACTCTCCAGTCCATTTGTCCCCTGGCTCCTTCCGCTGCCCTTGCCTAACACGTTGGTGTCCGAATTAGGATTTGGAAGCTACAGTTCCTTTCCTTACCCAAACCGCTCCGTTTTGCCATGCTTCCCCTAGTGGCCCGCGCTGCGGACCAGCCAGCCTCCTCGGCGGTCACCGCTGTGGGTCGAAGCCTAGGAGCCCTCACAGCCACCCTTCAGGCAGGCCGGGTGTCGCGCCGCACAGTAGCAGCAGCACACACTGGGGGCCGGCACACAGCGAGATAGCGAGGCAGTCTCCGTTAATCGTGCCGAGGCTCAGAGAGAGCAAGGAAGTTTCAGAACAGAAAAGAAAAAAGTTGGAGAGCTGTTCCCCCTGAACACGAACCCGGAAACTGACCTCTGTGCCCGTGTCCCCATTAGTCTCCGCTGGGTGGACAAACAGCCTCACCTGATTTCCATGCTCCCGGAGGCCCCATGGTTTCTGCAGACTCAGCCCTGCACAAATTAGGGCTTCTGCTGGAGAGTCACAGCTGACGGGGTGAGGGGGGAAAAAGCGCTTTACTATAGGGACGTGGTGACCCCCGTGCCTTTGGCTTATCTTGTATGTGTGCCGTAGTTTGCCCCCCGACTGCAGTCTGGGTCAGACTTAGGCCAGTGTGTGGCTTTCTGCTTTCTATAGCCCGGCAGCATTGAACTTGGAGAAATGGTTTGTGCTGGTGATGTGTCAGGGAGACCTATGTGATGAAGGCAGCAGCACCACCCTGGTACCCTGTCGTGGCTGCTCCAGCTGGCGTGCCGGAGGAGGAAAGGCTCAGGGGGCTATTTCTCTGCTCCACATTCAGCTTAACTAAGCGAGCTTTCCGGGTCAGGTGTTCTCAGTAGACACCTCTTCTTCCTGAGCAAGCATAGCCGCCGTGGCTGGAGAGGATCGCCACTGACAAAGGCTTTCGCTCCGTGTTTGGGAGGGTCTTCACTGGAAGCCTTCACCTGTGAGTGGCCGCTGGCCTCCTGGGCTTTATTAAATTTCCGGGGGGTGGGGTGGTGGTGGTGGCGGTGGAGGACGGACGCACAAACAATCCAAGTTGGAAGGCAGCAAGGAAAGCTGAGAAGTTAAACCATCCACCGAGGCTTGAGCTGGACCGCTGTAGAGCCCCTCCCCCCGCACAGAGGCCGGGAAGGGCCCGGTGGGAGCCTCCGGGCAGGTCCTGTTTTCCTCTTGTGGAGCACCCCTGCAGGGACAGTCCCTTCTGCGACGTGTGTGAGCCTGAAGTGGTGTCCTGCCCTGGAGCCGGGAGAAGCCCGGCACACATGGCCCTCATTTGCCATCTTTCTCTCCATTACTCCCTCGGTTGCTCCCATCGTTCTGAAGAGAACGTGGTCCAGCCTTGTGCCCGGTAAAGGTTTCTCTTGCTCTGGTTTCCCCTTCCTTTGATTATGAAGATAGAGACTGACGGACCTTTGTTCTGCTTTGTACCCATCAGATGACCCTGGGGACCCGAAGAAAAAGGGTCCTGGGCTTTTGATCTCTGGATCGGAGGACTAGGCCTATACTTCGCGAGCCCCGAGGGGAGAAAGCAACAGACTACGTTCTGATCCTTAGCTATTAAGGAGAAAGCAAGAGACTTAGGGAGTCAGGTGGCAGGAGACTTCTGGTCAGGCTGGTGGACTCAAGGGGTAGTGGCAGGTGCAGTATGGTTTGGTCATGGCCTGGAGTGGCGAGGAGGGGCTGGGGGAGCCGAGGCTAGAAAGGTCCACTCAGGCCAGGTGACGAGTAGCCAGCCACCCCTAGCTGGCTGAGAAATTCCGGGGATTGGGAGCAAACGAGGAGTGCCAGCTTGCCAGTGACCCTTCTGGTCTCTAGTGCTTCTGGTGCCTTCGCATGGTCACATGACTCACTTCCTCACCACCTGCAGGTTTCTGTCTTAAGAGTACTTTCTCTGGAAGGCCTTTCCGCCTGTCCCTGTCTAAGCCCAGAGCCGGCTAAGGGTGTTGAGACACCGATGGCTGACTGAGGTGGTCCGTAGGATGCTCGGTTCCCAGCTGGCGTCCTTTGAGCACAAGGAAGAGCCTTTAGGCAGGGAGGTGGAAAGTACAAAGGTTCTGAGGCAGGAGCAGTGTCCCGGCCAGGCCACAGGTTGATCATTTGCCCTAATGAAAACCTCGGGGCAGGCAGGACCAAGAGCTTTGGTGGACTAATAGTGAGGTGTTTGCATTAACAGCAGGTGATGGCGGGTGAGCACCTCTGCTTAGGGCCAGCTTCCCAGGAGCCTCTAAAGCAGCATTTCTCAGCCTGTGGGTTAAGACTCCTTTGGGGTCAAAGGACCCTTTCACAGGGGTCACATATCAGCTATTTATAGTATGATTCATAAGAGTAGCAAAATTACAGTTATGAAGTAGCAACTGAAGTTTTTATGGGTGGGTTGGGGGTCACCACAACATGAGGAACTGTATTAAAGGGTCACAGCAGCTTTGGGAAGGTTGGGAACCACATCTGGAGAGGCTTTTGAAGTTGCTGTTACGCTGAATAGCTCACTTCTTAGCAGGTCCAGCCTGAGCCACAGGTAGCTGAGGATCACCCGTGAGACTAGGGGATATGGCTGACCATACAACTTTGCTGCTGAATCAGTGTGTTCTGGAAGGATCTCGGGATTTACTGTGTGACACTTAGATATTTATCACATAATTTTCCAGTAACCCTGACCACATGCTCTCCCCGTGTGTTTGGTTCCTCACATTAAAGGATGTCGAAACCCTCCAGACACCCTTTTCTTCACACCTTAGCATGTAAGTCAGGTTGACTCCTGCAGCCCTGGTGTCTGCTGGAATCTCAGGAACTTTCCCAAAGTCACTGTTCACCCCAGCATGGGCTGCCTCCCCTCATGCAAGTACCCCATTTTACAGTTACTTGGGTGTGAGCAACACATTCCCGAAATACAGTTGAGAAATTTGTGGCATATTTTTTAATGAAAGATTTATTATGAATGTAGGAGTCTCCTCTTCTTAAAGTGAGGGTCATAGTGTTGGAATTCATACACAACCCTCCTAGACCTCGCATATCCTGTGGAACCAAGAAATGGGCTTACTCCAGCAGAGAAGCAGAACTTTCAGGTCTTTGTTAGTTACTATGGAGAATGGGCCCTGGCCTCCAACCTCCAATGCTTGCCAAGGGCCAGTGCCCAGGGAGATGTTGCTTTGCTGTTTAGGAAGATGAGTTCATATGTTTTTTCCCCTCTTCATCTCTCTCTCTCTCTCTCTCTCTCTCTCTCTCTCTCTCTCTCTCTCTCTCTCTCTCT